TGAAATGCCTGCTCCATTCTGGGACATCTGCTTCCAAGGACAGTTGGTCAGGGCAAAGGAAGAATCTCAGTTCTAAAGGCCAAGGACACACCTCCTAGACCATGGCAGCTTCTTGCCTCAGGACAAGACACAGTCATGATAAGCTTTACTTTTCTTCTTTGAACTTTTCTTAGCAAGCCATGGAACTCCCTAGAGTCTCCTTCTTGCCCCGGTCATTTGGCAAGCCCCCTTTCCCTATGACCACAGTGTCCTTAGCACAAGCATGTGGCCTCTTTCAGCGGGTCCCTCCCTGCCTAAGGGTTTCCTTTCCTGGCTTCCGCCCTGGTCCTGTGATTTCTGCCCTTTTCCCTTTAGAAGGAAGTGATCCAGGACAAAGAAGGACACTAACCAAGAATAGAGCTTGAGACTCAGGGCCCAGTTCCCATAGCAGCAACCAAAGAGGGTGCCAGGACCCAGGTTTTTATCATGAAAAGGATGGGCTTAAGTGTATAGGCTACAAGCCCAGGACACAGGCGGGTCAAGGCGAAGGTGATAGAAAGAACTGAGTTGTCTTTCAGCTAGGCAATGCAGGAGGGGTCAGGACAACATGAGGTCACATGAGGCTCTGGTAGAGGGTGAGTGCTTCCCCGCAGACCTATGGTCAGGCTTGGCCCACCATGGTCTCAGGTTGAAAAAGGAAAATAATTTTACAAAGACTTATGTGTTCAGCAGGGAGCATTCCATCATGAAAACTTGAGCTAGACACCCCATTACATCACTAGCAGCCCCCAGTGTGGCTGGTACAGAGGCAGAAATAACATTTAGGTAAAACCCTATGACTGGTATTTTTGAATGAAGATGGCCCCATAGGCTCATAGGAACTGGTACTATTGGGAGGTGTAGCCTTGTTGGGATAGGTGTGGTTTTGTTGGAGGAAGTGTGTCACCAGGGGTGGGCTTTGAGGTTTCAGATGCTCAGGCTAGGCTGAGGTGTCGCAGTTTCTTCCTGTTGCCTGTGGATCGATATGTAAACTTTCAGGTACCTCTCCAGCACCATGTCTGCCATGCTTCCCACCAAGATGATAATGGACAAAGCCTCTAAACTGTAAGCCAAACCCAATTAAATGTTTTCTTTATAAGAGTTTCCTTGGTCATGGTGTCTCTTCACAACAATACAAACCCTAACTAAGACAATGACCCTGACCTTTGGGTTATAGTTTGGATCTTAAATGTCCTCTAAAGACCATGAATTAAGTCTTGGTCATAAGTCTATCAAGATGTGGTGAAACCTCATCCTCAGCAAGGTACCATCATGATGTAGTGAAACCTTTGAGAAATAGACCTAATGGAAAGAAATTAGGTCATTGGGAGCACACCCATTAGGAGGACATTGAGATCTTGTCATGGCTTAAATATGAAAATGAGTCTCACAGCCTACATGTTTGAACATTTTGTTTCCATCTGGTGGCTCTGCTCAAGAAGGTTTTGGAACCTTTAGAAGGTGGGACCTTGCTGGAGAATGCACATCAATGGGGATGGGCTTTGAGGTTTTATAGCCTGGCTCAACTTTCTCTTCTCTCTCTGCCTTTGGATTGCCGATCCAATGTGACAGGCTGGCGTCATGCTTCTGCCACCATACTTTCCCCAGTAGGACCGTGTCCTCTCTAGACTGTAGACCAAAGCAAACACTTTGTCCTCTAAGTTGCTCTTGTTGGGGCATTTTCTCAAAGCAAAACAAACAAATAAACTGAGACTACCCCTACTCCTCTCTATTCTCTCTTTGTTTCCTTGCCACCCGAGGATGAGTAGGTTTGCTCTGCCAATGTCTCCTGCCATGATATGTTGCCTTGCCATAGACCTCAAAGCAATGGTACAAAAAAGGATCCTTTATGATTCTAAGTTGATTTTTCTCAAGTATTTTGTCACAGCAATGGAAATCTGACTAAAAGACTTGTATATTCCACGGCTAGGGGAGACCAAACTCTAATGTCCACCAAGCTAAGATGACATCCTTGCTGTACTTCTTGATGTACTAGTCACCAGCCATAGAGTGTGACAGCTGTAAGGGGGGTAGTGAAGAATAGGGGGAAGGACCCAAGACAGGAGTTGCTACAAATTCTTCATGAATCAGAGCCTGGTATCAAGAGAGGTTGAGAGGCTGGCTTTTTGACAACCATGACTACCCCAGCTATGACCCTCCCTCCAAATGACACACCTGCTTCACCTTAGTCCTCGGAGGAGAGAGGGCATGGTATTAAGAAGGAAACAAGCAGCTTTGTTGAGGCATAATTAAATTAATGTCTAGTATAATTTGTAGCACATAATAAACAATTCGGTAGAGTTTTATAGATCTACAAAGTTGTGTAATCATCAGTACAATGCACTTTTAGAACATTGCCATCAAAGCCCCCCAAAGTCTCACATTTAGTCCATACCACATTAATCACATCCACAATTAATCCCCATGCTCAACCTCAGCTATAAGCAACCATTACTCTATCTTTTTCTCTCTTACTTTCTCTTATCTCCGCATTTCATTAAAATAGCCCACAACTGTAAATTTTGCACCTGGTTTCTCTCATTTTGTGCTGTTTTGAGAATGGCCTCTCTCTAGTGTGTTCCATTGCCAAGCAGACCTTTATTGGACAGATCTGCTAAATTGTGTTTACTTCTCACCAGCTGATAAACATCTCTGGATCATCTCCAGTTTCTGGCTATTTTGAATAGAGCAGTTGTGAACAGTTCCACCCAGATCTTTGCGCAGGTGTACACTTTCATTCCATTTGTGTAGATCCCTCCAAGTACAGTTTGTGTGTCATATTATTAAGAGTCACACCTTAAGAAACTACCAAGCTTTGTTCCCCAGTGGCTGCTGCATTCAGCAGTGTACATGATCCAGTTTCTCCACATGCATGCCAACACTTGGCATCATCTGTCTCTCAGATTGCAGGCATTATGGTTGGGGTTTGCTGGAATCACATTGTTATTTAATTTGCATTTTCCTAATTAATGACTAAAGATATTGGGCATGTTTCCACATACTTATGAGCCACTGGTACATCTTCTTTAGGGAAATACCTGTTCAAATTGCTCTTGCCTATTTTAATTGTGCTATTTGTCATCTTATTATCCAGTTGAAAGAGCTCTATATGTGGAAACATGTTCATCACTTATCTGATTTGCAAACATTTTCTCTTATTTAGTGGCTTGCCTTTTCATTTCTGTAGTTGTGTCTTTGGAAGTGCAATGCTTCTAAGTTTTTATCAGTCTCTCATTTATGAATCTTGCACAGTGTCACTTTACCAAGTCCAAGGACACAACAATTTTTTTCTCTTGTTTTGTTTGAGAAATTTTACAGTTGTAGCTTTTATATTCAGGACAAAGACTCTTTAATTATGTTGATGCAGTAATTAAATTTAATTATGTTGATGCTGTTGCTTTGATAAAAAAGGGTGTCAGTTCAAGTTTCTGTCTGTGAATGTCTATGGAACACACACCACTTGATGAAAAGTACGTGCCTTCTATTTAGAAATGTCCTGGACTGTATCAGAGCTCAGCATGTCAGTTTACACATGGAGGATTTCTTCTGGATCCCGTGTATCCTTGATCTCTGTGCTGCACATGCTCCCTTGCTCTACCTGTGTTTACAGTGGTCCCTTGCTGTTGAAACTCTGCTTGTAACTTTAAACAAAATGAATGATGCTTCATTTTTCCATGGTTAGAAATTCCCTTGCTGTTGTTTCACTGTTGCTTTCAACTTTGATTCACTTTAGTCAAAGATTATAGTGTATGATTTCAATTCTTCTAAATTTGTCAAGGTTTGTCTCACAGCTTAAGATATATCTTGGTGAATGTTTACTGGGGTCATTTAAAAAAAAAGTGTTCTTCCATAGGCTGATTGTTCCAGATGGATCAACTGGGTCCTGCTGGTTGACAGTGTTATGTATGTCTTCAGTGACCTTGTGGATTGGGACCTTGTGAACTTAAGTCAAACTAAAAATCATCGTAGATTTTTCTGTCTCCCCTCAGCTCTCCAGTTTTGGCTATTTGAGTTCTGTGTCTCTGCTGTTTGAGGTATATACAAATTTGGACCTTTGTTTTCCTGACGATTTGCTCCTTTCATCATCTAATGTCCCATTTAACCCCTACTGTTTGTCTTTTGTTCTAGTTTATGAGATATTTGGTATATGCACAGACTGCTTAATGTATGGGTATTTCTTCTTCCATCCATTTGTTTTCACCCTACTTGTGTCATCTGTATAAAGTGAGTTTCTTATAAACAGAATATAGTTAGGACACATATTCATCTATAGTGTCAGGCTCTGTGATTCAACTGATTTAGACCAATTTAAGATAGACAGATTAAAGTATTTTGTTATTTATTTTCTTCTCCTTTCCTGTGATTCTTGTTATTCTATTTCATTATGTGACTTGAATATATTTAAAGGATTATCTTGATTTTTATGCAGCATTTTTTAGTGTTCGGGGTTTGGCATTCCAATATGTGTATGTGTGAGGCAGCTTGTCAGCCCACTTCCTACTTTTGAAAATAACCTATATTGGTTGGATGCAGTTTCTCTTTACTGTTTGCTTTCAATGAACTTGAACATCTTAAAACCACAGTATTCCCAAGGAGCCCTGTTAGCAGGTAAAGAAGAGCACGGACCAAATCTGTGCTCGTGGAAAAGGGTTAGAAGTATTAGTGATGAGAAGGGGTCAAGGTGGCTCAGATCAGTCATAAATTCCCACAGGGCACTACAGAACACTTTTCAAGCTCCTCAGTGAAACAAGTTGGACCAACATGAGCTGCATGCCATCTGGACCATGTGGGGAATCATGACTGGTGTGTGGACTATTCACACATGCGAACATATGCAGAACATACATTGTTTGGGCTTGTGACCAACATCTTTTAGTAAGAATACATATTTAACCAGTATCTTGATAGCATAAAAAGAATATCAAAGAATATCATAGAATATCAAAGTGTTTTATTTGAAATAACAAAGAAAATATTCCTACCTGTTCTGAGGGCATTTCACCAAATAATGTCTCACTGTGAAAGAAAAAAGAATAATAGTTGGTAAATACAGGCTAGTTTGGCATTACCTGAAAGGCGGGGACCTAGATCTTGCTCAGGTATTGGGGCTGCACCAGCCAACTCTCAGGGTTTCTTGCCTACGAATTTTGGGGGGAAACCACAGCGGGGACATCAGAGGGCACATCAATGATTTGCTATTATTTCAGCTCTGGTCTCTACCAGGTATGAAGCCACAAGCACCAGACATTATAATATTTGCCTTTGGCCAGAATAAGTTGAGTTGCGTTCCACCCGGAAGAGACTTGTCGTGGTGAAGCTCCACCTGAGTCGTGATAGCAGCCTTGGGGCCAGAAGGGACAGGCCATCTCTCTTTAGAATCTGCTCATTGTGAAATGGGCTTGCATTCTCTGGTTGATGCTCTTTATGGTCTTAAAAGAGCTTCTTAGTCAGATGTGATAGTGCCACACTTGGAGGGCTGAGGCAGGAAGATCTCAAGATCAAGACTAGCCTCAGGCTAGTCTTGTTTCACACAAACATAAAACAACAAAAAGAGGTCCTTAAGGAGCAAGCTATCTTTCTACAATGGTTCTCTTTGAGGTAAACTTATAGCTATAGTGGAAAAATTAGAATACATGGGTACCTAGTCCAGAACGTGTCTAGTCAAAGACTTGAAGTTGAGGTCACTTCAATAGAGGAAAGCTGAAACAGCCAGGGAAATCCTGAATTGTGTGATACATGCTTAGATGCCAAGCCCCAGTGAATCCCACCTTCTCATCTGTTCATACCTGCGTGTAACACCTCCTGCCTCGTGCTAACTAGAACTTGGTGGCCTGACTTGCCTGGATCCAAGAAACATTAGCCAACATGCCATAAGCAAAGGCATAAAAAGTGCTGTGCCTGAGGCCTGTGGCAGGCAGCTAGCTTTTCTGCAGTCAGTTATTCTGTGGGCCCATTGGAAGATGAGTCTCCACAGAGAAGGCAGTGAATGTTGTAGCTGAGATCCCCGAGCAGCCAGCCCCCATGGATCCACCATCAGGCTGCAGCTGCATGAGTGACTCTGGCTGAGAGCGGCAGCAGCACCCCTCAGCTGAGCCCGTGGCCACTGCTGCAGAGCTAACAATGCAGAAAAACTGGCTCCATGCTATGTCTAAACCCTTCCTGAAATCCATTTACCAAGCACCTGCTGTGGACTAGATGGTTTACGGATACAGCAACAGCAATCATAATATATATGGAACAATTCATATTTATGACAGCATTTTAAACTTCGTAAGGGTCAATAGACTTTAGAATTTGGTTTACATCCTGGGACAAACAGTTTATAGGCATCAGTTTCTGGGTTCTCTTGCAATGTGACTGAGATCTGACGATATTCCTTTTCTTCTCTGTTTATAACATCACCTTTTCTATGTCACAAAGCCAAGGCACGTTGTCTATTCATCGGGACTTATACCATAGAGACCTGTCCTAGGAAGTACCACTAACCGGCTGACACAAAGCATTAGTATCCACTGAGATTTCGTACAGCTCACAGCTTAGTAGCAAAACTCATGAGGATGAAATTTCCAATATTTTGCTTCCAACAAGGATTGAATAATCTAGGTATCAGCTGACAGCATGTTAGACAGCATCTTTGATGATAGATCATTATTTAACTCTAACATATATAATTCAAAAGCTGTGCATGGTAGTGAGTAGTGTAAGAAGACTCCCTCTGTTCTTGCCTTCTTTTGTATTAAAGGTGAAATTCCCAAGCTCATACCTATTATCAAAACAGAAATGAGGCTGATGGAGAACTATATCCCTAGAAAAATTCTGAGTTCTTATCTTCACATTTACATGTGAGGATACATAATGTAAAAACAAAAATCTATTTCAATAGAAATGCACTTCCAATAAAATTTTACTTTATGCTTATAATTATTTACCTAAATAAATAATCTATTTATGCTATTGTTAACTTTATAGTAATCTTTCAAAATACCATTAATTGTGAAGTGTTGGTAATTTGGTCTTATAACAATACTTTAACACCTAGACACAGAGATGGGGAATGGAGAAGTTACTAGCTCAAATGTGTGTGTGTGTACACATGCTCGAAGGTAAGCTTGATTGTCACTCAGCACGACAGCTGTGCGAGAAAAGGATAAAATTCTGTGGGAGAAATAGATGAGAAACGGAGAAGGAAATGACATTCCTCACAGCTGAGGCTTCCCCTCGCCCCACTCCATGGGGTGTTTTCCTTCCTTTGTGGGGCTCTTTGAAAAATAGCGATGGTGATCAAAGTCAAGAATCAAAAGGGCATGACATAGTCATATCATTTTAAGATGTCTATGCAGTGTTCTGTAAAGTGCATCTTTTGAAACAACTTACATTTGTAATGAAAAATTAAGGCGCCAACCACACATAAAATAAAAGACCAAGGTCACGGAGTCTGTGCAAAAGTATTTTAAGAACTATTAAGAATGAGTTTTAATTCAAGAAAGCTGGTATCTTTAGAGCAAAGGGGACCAGGTCCCAAATGCAGACAGAAGGCAGGGGGACCACAAGAAGAAGCCAAAGAGAGAAGTCCCAGGAGAAACCAGCCTTGACACTATAGCTCCTCCCTCTCAGACTTTCATGTCCACTGCGAGGCCAAGGAAGTCTGTAGTTCAGCTCAGTCTGTCCTGTGCTACTGGACCCCGAGAGCTTTGTGCTTCCAGGTCACACCAGCAGAGTGACCTGACTCTGAGCCCTCGGTGGCCAGCCAGAGACTCTGAGAGCTAGTGCTGTCTACACACAGACAGCCATGTCTCCCAGAACATATGGCCTGTGCTGTGCGCTGTGCTGCAGCTGCAGCTGGCAGAGCAGGGCTTGAGATCCAACTTAATACCAGGCGCTTCCCTGTGTTTGGGGAGGTGCAGTTCAGGTGCAGGGAAAGGAACAGGGTAGACGGAGACTGGGAGTAGACAGGAGAGAAGCCGGGGTTGGGGAACTTGCTAAGGAGGGCAACCAGCCTGGTGGGACATGCCAGTGGTATGTTTTGGCAGATGAACGTGAGGTCTGTGTTGGGGGAATGCAGGGCCAACATACCCACCGATGAAGAGGGACCACCCAAGACTGAGCATAAGTTGGACAAGTGTACGCTCATCTCCAGGCACAGCAGCATGCCAACCACATCAGGGTGGCCCTAGCCTAACATGGACTCTGTGGAGGTGGAGCCAACATCAAGGGTTCAGAAGTATGTGAAAGGCTACCCAGTGAGACAGGAGGTCTCACTATGGTACTAGCTCTGGAGGTTAGGTGCCCAGGAGGAGAAGAAGCCCATCAGGGAAGAGTGACAGAACAACCCTCCATCACCGCCTGCCTCCTGGCGTCCAGTGTAGGGCATTTGTTCTCAGACACAAAAACACAAGGCACATGGTCTTGTTCTGGGTGACCTTGGAAGGTTCTGGAAGGAAAGCTAGCGTCTGTCACCCCTTCTGACAAGACACTCCAGCTGTAGCTTCTTCCTTTCCCCCCCCTTCCCTCATTCTTAGCTAGCTAGATCCTCATTGCTCAAAGGCACCACCCATGTGTCAAGCCTAAAGACTGTGACTTCCCCAGCTGGGCCTATCACTGTCACCACTTCCACTAAAAGCAGGAAGACAGGCTGAAGGAACCACATCCCCACCACAGCAGCTTCATTGCAGTGCCAGGACCTCCAGGGTGTAACACACACACACACACACACACACACACACACACACACACACACACGCGCGCATACACACATTTCCTGGGCCTTTCAGAGCCCCTAGCTAGGCCTGAGGATGTTTACGCTCCAGTCACAAGAGCTTTCTCTCCTCTCACTGCAGGAGCTCCAAAATGGGCTCTTCATAACACCCAGGATCGTGTTTGCAGAGAGCCCTCCCCACCCACTCAAGTCCCCAGGTCAGGGAGCCCCACAGCCTGGGAAAACACTGCCTAACTGAGAGGCTCAGTCCACAGTCCTGCCCACATTTCCTAGGAGTCAGGGCCCATCACAACACTGTCTTCTCACCTTGTGGAACCCGAGATCCCACATTCATGAAGCAGACCTGCTCAGACAAGCCCTCCAGCCCAGCACAGCCACTAGGATGACATCACCCACTCCCATCACACAGGAGGAGCTGAGAAGCAAGCAGAAACTTGGTACCAGGAGCCACTGAGCAGCCACATTCAGTGGATGAGAAGCATCACCCATAAAGCTGCCTGTCTGTGCTGGTCAGCAGCCCCAGATGGCTATGAAGCCATCAAAATGGAAAAAGCCAAAAACAAGGTGTGAGGCCTCGACTGGTCTCACATCTCAGTGTGCAATATGCAGGTCAGCCTTACTCATTCTCTCCTTAGAAACTGTACTTTTGAACTCCTATAAATTGTAGTTTGAACATAATATATTAATACCAGGTTTTGTTTTTTTTTTTTTACCTGCTTTTGTTTTAAAACTTTTGTAATGAGACAACGGATTCTATCTGCGGTTCACATATGTCCACTGAGAGTGTGTGTCAGCCTTAGCAGTAGGATGGTCAGCATGGAAATGGAAGTATGTGAGCAGGGAAGGTAAGGCCCTCACCTGCGAAGGTGCTTGCTTAAAGCTGTATCTGAAATGTCCCCACAGCCTCATGCATTGAAAGCTTGGGCATTGTCTTAGTCAGCTTTAGACATTGTCTTGACACAACCTAGGGTGACCTGGAAGGGAATCTTCACTGAAGGGTTGCCTAGCTTGGCCTGATTGGTGGGTGTGTCTATGGGAGAGGGCCTTGATTTATTTTTAATTGATGTAGGAGGACCTACCCCATGATGGGCTGCACCATTCCTTGGGCAGGTGGTCGTGTGCTGTATTAAAAAAACAGATGAGCATGAGCCTGTGATCCAGCTAGCAAGCACACCCCTCCATGGTTCCCGCTGCTTTGACCATGAAGTAAGGTACCTGGTTTCAGGTATTGCTGTGTGAAATATCAGGCAGCCCTGTCTTGAGGTCCCTGCCTTGAATTAACACCTTAACTTCCCTCAGC